GAGCCTCCCCCTCGCTGGCCCGTCGCAGTCCCTGCTAACTCTCTATCTCACCCAGCCATACTATACTTCTGCATACACCCGGCTGTGCGCCACGCYCGGGTTCACTTTGTTGGCTTTGCTCGTTGCCCCCCCGTTTGCCCCGTAGCGGCCTGTTACGGTCAGCACAACGTTCGATAGCACAACGGTCCGGCCTTGGCTCGCCCCCCTGTTCTTGCCAGCCCACCGGCCTTGCCCTTTTGTCACTGCGTGGTCCGACAGCGTCCAAATGTCGAAGGAAGCAATCGGCTGGGTTCCACTCAGCCTTCACTTAGGGCCAGAGAACCGCCGCACAAAGCTCGTGTGACCAGCCAAGCACATAGCTGGTCACATAAACAAAATAGTATGCGTTGTACTCACCAGTTAAGTGCACCACTGAGTCTTCACTTAGGACTGAGATACTCCTCCCTGCTGTGTGTGTGACCAGCCAGGTAATTGCTGGTCACATAGAATAACTGTGTCAAACAATTAAGTGCACCTCTCAGCCTTCACTTAGAGCTGAGATGCTGCTGCTCGCTGTGCATACAGATCACAAAGTGATGTGCGCATGGCTCCGAAAATCAACAACAAGGTTCACAGATTGGATGCGCACCGACGTGCTGGCTCAAAAATCATCAAGGCTCAAGTTAGCTCTTAAATACAGTGTGCGTGGGCGCACAATCCGATATCAGCCCACAGATACGGCGTGCGTGGGCGCACAGTCCAAGATCAGCCCACATATACGGCGTGTGTGGGCGCACACTCCGTGGCCAAACATCAGGTATAGCGCGCGTCCGCGCACGACTCAGAGTCAACCCTCAGATACAGCGTGTGAGCGCATAGTTCAAGATCAATCAACGGATACAGCTCAGGCATAGTGCGCATAGACCAGATACGGCATGCACACAACCCATGGAGAGTGAGTGAAAGGGAAATGGAGGCGGTTGGAAAGAAGAGGGAGTGAAAGGGAATAAGGGAAGAGAGAGAAGAAAAAGGGTGAGAAAGGGAAAGTGAGGGGTCAGTCTTGCCCCCCCCTTTCCTTATCCCTTCCCTGGCTTGCCTTTTGCTCGACTCTCTTGCCTCCTGCTCCGTGCTCCTCTCAAGCTCCTGCTGGCAAGTCTCTGTTCTTTGACTCGTGCCTTCCGCCCCTTGCCGTTCCGCCAAGGCTGTAGCGCTCCCGCAGGTGACGGTTCTCTCACAGTCTGATCCGCGTTCTTGCGCAGGGGCCGCGCCAAGCCTCTCCGTATTGTTCCAAATTTTAACGGATGTCCCGAAGGACCTCCACCGTGGCATTGCCCTACGGCC